GAAAGATAAGACACTAGATAATCCCATAAGACAATTTATCAAGAAGATAAATAGCAAGACCACAGTATATCAATGGATAGCACAAAATAGAACCGAAAAGAAATGGAGTCATCAGATCAAAAAACAACAAGAATACACTTGGGATCTAGTATGGGAAAGAATGAATGGACACACATGGGATACATCTTCCAAAGACTTACAGAGAAAGAGCTTTCTTATTAAATTAATGAGCGATGAGCTACCAACTTTGAGTAAGCTGACAATAAGAAGACCAGATCTATATAAGCAAGTGAAATGTATTGCATGTGACCTCTATAAAGAAGAAACAATCGATCACCTGCCAAAATGTCCAGCTTACAAGGAACAAATGCAAGAAGCATGGAACAAAGGCCTTGAAGGGGTTCTGAAGAACTTTAAAGAACTCCTACAAGAAAAAAAAAAGGAAGTAGCTGAGAAGAATGTGAAACTAATAATAGAGGATAGAGAAAAATTGGAAGAAATAGACATGTGAATATCCAGGCTGGTGGAACAAGCTTCGACAATTAGCCAAGATATGTTAAGCTTCATTGCAGGATTGATAAGAAGCAACCTTGTTCTCGAGATGGCAGATCTTAGATGCCATGGCAAAAGAATTGAAAAAGAAGCAAGAAAATGAATAAAGAAGATGCAGAGTATAGTATGCAATCAATTCTGTAAGAAGGTTTGGAATACAAGATGTGAAAAAATTATAGAATGGGAAAGAACACAGGGAATCCAAAGAAATGATAAGATGAAAAGACCTCCAAGCCTTCTTGGTTCAAAACCTAAAACTGCATCACCAGAAAGAAGAGGTACTCCATTAATAGAAGAAGGAAGATTAGAAGATCAAGATCTCACAGACATCTTATTAAAAGGAGTTAGATTTGGAATAAAATGGTTGGATTTTGAGTTCTGTCAGAACTGCAAAGAGTGATCTGCAGTAGTGACCTGCAGGCGATGATATTAAAAGTTAGAAGGGTCTTTACCTGAACTTTTAATGGAGCGAAAAATTACTTCCAAAGTTGCACTTAGAGTAATTACTGAGACGAGTGAGCTGGTTAAAGTTTTAGCTTTAGCAATTCATACTATATGTGCAGCTTACAATTGTTTAATAAAGCACACATAACTAGCCTGACAGAGGGTTTAAAAAAAAAAAAAAATTAATATTTTTATATATAAATTAAAAAAAATATTTGAATCTAATAATAATTAGATAAAATGTTTTTATAATTATAATATTTAAATAAAATAATATTTTAAATATTTTGTAATTTATAAAATAACAAATATCCAAATAAAAAATTCAATTTTTAAATTTTAAAAAATGAAAATTTGAATTAAAAAATATATTGATATATTTAATAGAATATTAATTTAAAATCTTTGAATTGATAAAGATTATTTAAATTATTTATTTCAAGTTATTTATAATTAACATTAATGATTTAAATTTACTTATATTTTTATCAAAATAATTTTATTCTTTTTAATTGTAAATATTATTTTAATAAATTTTAAAAGATATCAATTTAAAGAAAATAATAATACACATGTACAAAAACTATTTTTAAAAATATTTTATCTTGATATAATAAAGCAATGCTATTAATAAATATTACTAATTATATTTCTTTTAGATTATATTTAAAAAAATTTTTCGAGTAATACAATCCTTTAAAAAATGATTATCAATTCTTGAGAAATAAAAAATAAACAATGTAATAAAAAATCTTTTCAATTATCTAATAGAATAAATAAATAAGTAAAAATAATTGAATTGAAATTTAAACTTTTGAAGTAAACAATTACTCGTATATACTTGCAGTAAAGGTGCTTTTTGTCAAAATTTAATTGTTTATTTTCAATTTATAAAATAAAAATGAAAATTGAAAGTTAAATTAATAAAATATCAACGATCCCGATTGCTGGTTGACCATCCATCGACTCAACAGAAGAGCGACTAACTATAATTTATTGGTATTGATATTTAAATTCTGGAACCGCTCAAATTTAAAATTTATTGGTTAATTTTAATTTTAAAATAATATTTGAATCCAATCTAAAAAACTTGATAATAATAAATTTTATCGCCGATTCGGATATTAATTGTATAACCTGAAATTTTATCTTTAAATATTTGACAATATAAAGTCAGGGAATAGAAGAGAAAGCAACGATATTATTCAAGGAAACTTTTGTTTGTCAAAAGTAATGTACAGCATTTTATAAGGAATCATATAATAATTTACTGTACCTAAAAATATAAACAAAACAAATTCTTTTAAAAGAAACGGAATTATTTCTATTTTTATTCCAGTCGCAATTGCCGTAAGTAGCGGTGTATAGTATCCCCCCCGTAGAATATTGCCGGTTCTTAGAAATAATACGCAATGTACAGTATCTCCCCCCCAAAAAGGAATGTAACGGTGATATGCGACATTAAGATAGCCGGAGGTTTCCGACGGGGGGCACTGCGTATACACCGCTACTTACGGTAATGATACAAACGTACAATAAACGGAAAAAAAGCATGTGATATGCAATGCAAACATCCTTAGAACATTGTCTAAATATGATTCGATAATGAAATTAATGAGAAGTTTGACGGATCTGTTTTCCGGTAATTATATGTAAGTAATGGAAATTGTAAAGAATCAATGAAGTGAATTTAATTAATAACCATAAATAAAACGACAAGATTGAGGAGTTATATTTGCACGAGCTATACTTTTTGACGCCCCTAACTCATGCATTGTATACATTGTATACGAACAATGTTTCTTTCGAAGTCATCGCCGTATCGTACTACTCGAAGAAACAAATGTGAACCGATGATGATTACAAGTTATATTTTGCTTTAATATACCTGTGTATCAGTCGTTATATAAGAGTAAAGTTTTATTATAATGTTAATGGTGATTCACTGATCTGATTATGTACGTATTTACTGGCACCCACTCGCTCCAGTGGAATGATTGATGAATACCTTGTAAAAGAAGCAAAGACATTGGTGGTCGTTATTAAGAATGAAATACGCTTGCGTGATTGATGAACTCTCATTCAAATGTGTTTATAAAAGACGTCAGCTTAAAACATCTCGACAAAAATTCTGAACATCCAAGTAATTTCGGGATGAAATTGGAACATTTCTATGCTTTTTTCTGCTTAATATTCCATGACCTTCTGGTCTCTGCGAAGCTCTTATCAAAACGCGCACTCGATCCACCAGTCAATAATAATCTCTTTGATTCTTTTACAGCACTGGCTGAAACCCCCGGGAATGTAATTCGCAATTACACATTCGAATTAAGAAAGGTCTCTCTAGCTCCTGATAATTTTACTCGTCAGGTGTGGTCCGTGAATGGACAGTGGGTATCTTCTCGTCCCTCTCATATTAAGGCGTATCGAATCTTAACTGTATTTTTTACAATTCTAAAAAGATACCCCGGTCCGATGATCCGTGCAAATCGTGGTGATACGCTTAACATCACGGTGATTAATTTGCTCGGCGATCCATCTTCAAGTACGCATGCGTGTCGCCAGGAGATATTTCGGTGGCTCACTAATTTGACCATCCTCTTTTTTTAATTAAAGTTCACTTTCACGGGCTTGAACAAAGAAACACCAATTGGTATGATGGCGTTCCCGGTGTGACCCAGTGTCCGATTCCAAACGGAGTAAACTTTTCATATATAGTTAATCTCACGCAATCCGGAACCTTTTGGTATCATTCTCACTTTGCGTCTCAATATGTTGACGGCCTAAAGGTAAGAAGGGCGAAACAGCCTTTTTGTTCTCCTGAACCCGCGCGTCAGAGTAAACAACACTATTCACCATTCATTCGCAAAGGGTCCCATTGTTATCCATGATCCGAATGATCCTCACAAAAACAAATCCGATTTTGAATATGTGATGACGATTTCTGATTGGTACCACACTCCAACTGGCGATCCCAGTATGCTGCCAAGATTTCGCAATGGTACATACTATATGAATGAATGAATTTTTTTTTTGGATCGTTTATTGAATAATATTCCGATGATTTGTTTTTTCCTGGTTTGAAGAAAACTATTTCGGGTTCGATCCACTTCCAGATTCTGCCGAAATAAGTGGCGTCGGACAATATAACTGCACAATTCCGACGTGTAATCCCAACCGATTCGCCACTTACAAAGTACAAAGAGGAAAAAGATACAGATTTAGAATAATTAATATGAGTGCGATGACTCATTTCTGGCTTTCCATAGATCAACATCCACTCACTATTATTGAAGTCGAGGGAACGCCAATCAATCCGGTCGCGATTAACTGGCTTCCAATCAACATTGCTCAACGATACTCGGCGATAGTTGTGGCGAATCAATCTGTCGGAAATTATTGGATCCGAGCCGTGATTTCAAATTGCAGTTTACCCGTGAACAATTTAACGATCAACTATAATACTCCTCTTTTTGCAAACGGGCAGATTACCGGTATCCTTCGTTATGACGGTGCGCCCGCTACTAATCCCACTTCTGTCGCCTATCCCCAAAACTCGTCAGATTGTTATGATCTCGACCCCACCACTTTGAAACCCTCGACCCCGCCGAACCCCGCAGTACCACAAACTACAAATATCACACAAATTTACATGGAGATCTCTATCAAATTTCCTTTCGTAGGAAGAAATAGAATTCTCGTGGAAGCAGCAATCAACAATTCCTCGTTCTTTCCGTCCACCTCATATCCGTCCTATAGAAAAGTTGTTGATGGATCCAACTTCTCTAGTTATGACAATGCGTACTCCTACAATACTTGGAACGAACCGATTGAAATTTTTTTGAATAATACTGAAAATCGAACACATCCTTTTCATTTGGTATTTTTAATTACATCAATGAAATCAGTTTTCTTCATTCAACATACGTTATTTATCTTCCGATCGCTCGAATTTATTTTACAATAGCATGGACACACGTTCTGGGTTGTCGCTCTAGGAGAGGCGGGAAGTTACAACAAACCTCTAAGTTCTCTAAAGTACAACTATGACAATCCAATCCTTCGTGACACGTTAACCGTTAAAGAGCTTGGGTACGTATAATTCTTATATACGGTTAAAAAGATTGCGGGAGGATTTTTAGTAAATGTATGTCAAAAACTTTTGTAGCTTGGCAGCGATCAGGTATTACGCAAACAATCCGGGAATTTGGTTTATTCATTGTCACATTGAATGGCACGTCGAGATGGGAATGGTTGCTCAGATGGTCGAATTGCCCGATGCATACCGTAATCTTACTGTGCCCGATAATGTTAACGCACTTTGTGGATCATTTGATAGCAGGTAAAAAAAAAAAACATTGTATGTAAAACACCAAGAACATTTGCATCTAGAAAAAAAACGCAAAATAAAATATTTCAATAAATGTACATACACAAAAAATCTATTTATAATATCTTAAAGCTTATATTGGAAGCAGTGAGGCATAATGAACGTTTAAAATATTATTTATTTGATTTATCAAATGACTTGTTCGTATTACATTCACCAAATCATAAATTTATATTATTAAAACTTTATCCTATAATTAATTATTATAAAAATTATTTTTTTATAATTTTTTTTTAAATTTAATACATTTTCTTAACTTTGATATTTTATATATAATATATACGAAAAGTAAAAATAAAAAAATTTTATAGGGTTTGTTTAAATGACATTGATTTGGTAAAATGTATAAAGCAGATAATTTTAGATAATAGAACTATTATTAGTAAATTATCAAATTGCAATTTTAGCTTTAAATACAAAATCACTACGAAAAGAAATCTTAAAAATTTTTGAATTAACCATTTAAAACTCTTCGATTAATTTTATTAAAAATATTTTTATATCCAATCAATTCTTTTAATTTCATTCGACTAAAATTTTTTTATTAGGTTAAAAAATTTTTTTATTATTAATTTAAAAAATTTTTTATTTGACTATTTAACCATTTACAGTATATAAAGTATATACAGTATTGCTTGATAAATTTAGTAAAAAAACAATTTTTTTTTTTTGTAAATTAAATTGTTTAATCAATTTTCGATAAATTAAATCTTTCACTAAATTTAAATTATTGTTTCTTATGTTTATTAATAATGTTTAATTTATTTGAAAAAGTAAAGTATCAAATTAATTTATATGAATTTTTATTATAATATCTCAATTCAATAAATAAAAATTATCAACAACACCAAATTTAAGCACATCGCAAATTAAAAAATTAATTTTAAAATAAATTTATATTACAAATTTCTATGCTTTAAAGATATATATATATATATATTTTTTTTTAAAAAAAAAATCGTGATTTCCTAATTTGGTTAAGAAGAATATGATGATACAAATTTTCAATATATTAAGCGCGATGATGAAATACAGTATATAGTACGTTATAAAAACAATTCAGTAGAATAGCACATAGACGAAGGCCATACTTGGTATACTGCAAATGTATTTTTAGAGTAACTGTGCAGACGATGTATCACCGTGCGTTCGGAAAATCACAATCATTGTCTGCATGCGTAATGTTGTTTTCCATTGATGTAAAACAATAAGAATTAAAACCGAAGGCATATTTTATTTCCTTACTTTTGCATAATTAATTGAAACTGTAAGCTCACTCTTGTGTATTTGAGGGTCCATTAAATATTAATTGGGTGCATAAAGTTTGGAATCCCTTGGCGTGGTCATAATATGTGATTTGTAAGTATAATGATATGTATGGATGGTTAAATAAACAGCATCGCATTCGTAACCCTAATATTGATCCCATCTTCATATCCGTATAAATCGATATGCTTGAGCACATTTTCTTAAGGTCGCTTTTTTAGGCAAAAATATATGTAGTGACAAACTTTTTTTTTTTTTAACCCCAATCCTATCATACGAACTAAAATATTCAGAAGATGCATCTCAATTGTTTCACATTTTCTGATATCATCTCACAAAAAGTCGCGTCTAATGTGTGTTCTTTATTGCTTGTCAACAAACCCGTCAAGCAATCACCAATCGTCGACAAAGTTATCTCGGCAATCAGTTAATCCTATCTATTCATATCTCTTCCTCATGAACGTCCTTGCGACCTGCACCAGCATGCGACCAAAATTTTTTCACACGGGTTTAAATTTACTTGTATTGTACGCGGTTTATTTGTTTGGTAACAAGTTTTATGCAAACGCGTTTTATATTCAACGATGGCGGTTAAAGTAAACGAAAATATTTTTAATTTGCACATGCGCTATACCAGTAAACAAAATAATAACTCATAAATAAAATTTGTTATAAAAAGAGTCTCTCCCTGTGAGAGCAATAATTCCTTACGCTGTGCAAGATAAGCTAACCAGGAAGGAATATAGCGTATAAGAATATGAATCGATCAATACCCGTTCGCGTTAATTTACTAATTGAGAATGCCATTCTCCAGGGAAACGTGTATGGTCGCGCTCTAGACTCAAACCATTTTCTTAATATTCTAGACATCGAGAATGGGCGATCATCTCGATCCGATTTGCAAGTGAAAGCCTACCATATCTTTAAAATTGTGGTGAAGGAGGAAGCGATAAGGATTTTACACGAAGATCACCTTGGAGTTATAGGGTTTTCAACGGCAAAATTATGGAAAATGACTCCACCAGCTGTAAAAAGCACGTATCAAGCGTGCGCTGAAGCCGTGGATATGAATATCCCCAAAAGAAATTTTGTTACTTCCGCTAACGTTACTGCCGTTGGTATTACCACTGACACTCACTCCCTTTGATAATGCAAATGCTACTGCCACTTTCTCTGGTGTTGTATGAATTTATTGCCGCAAAAGAGATTTTTTATCTTTCGTAATTGTACTACATAACGTGACAATACTCGGTTATCCTAAAAGTACAGTGGTTTCTTTCTAATTTTAAGATTTCTTTTTTTTTTTTTTATATTTCATTTTAACCAAGATATTTTATAACTTATTACTAGTCCATCCCATATTATTATTATTATTATTATTATTATTATTATTATTATTATATTTATTATTATTATTATTTATGTATTACAACTATATTTATTAAACAAAGCGATCACCATTGTTACCTCCATTATCGAATTATTATTTAAAAAAAATTATCAAATTATTTATTGTTTCTGTTGTGTCTGGTTAGGTAAAAAAAAAAAAAAAAAGAAAGAAAAGAAAAAATTTTCGTGACATTATTGGGGGTCTAACTATTGCTATGAGAGATTTGCGCCTCTTGTGAACGTGCATGAAATTATATATATTTTTTCTTTGTCATAAATAACCATGTATAAATATTATTTGAATGCCATTACAG